TCATACAAATTTTTCCATGAAATCGGTTGTGACAATACGATTCTAGCAGCAACGGAAAAACACACGCAATTTGAAGGTCAAAACCGATAGTTAAAGCCTGCACTGCATTACCTTTGGAATACGTTCAGGGACTGGGAACTGCATGTTCTGGGCTTTGAAGCATCTGACGCTGAGTCATCACCATGTTCCTCTCTTTCAGAAAAACATAACACAGCTTCTGAAGATCATCCCATGACTTTAGACGCAGTTCCGAAGCTTTCCAACCTCGACCTTAACACCAAAATACTTACCAATGTTCTTCAAACAACACAAAACAATCCTTGATTACAAGATTACAAATTCCAAATTTTCCATGGCATAAGAAAAATAATTGGTTACAGAACAACCACATCATCCAGTACACAAATATGATCAACAGTCCACAAGTAGTAGCTAAGGGACTCATATGTGAAGAAAACAGAGAGCAGCTTCTTCATTTCAGATTATACAGCTTTATATAACTCTTCAGAAGAATCACAGAAAAAGAAGAAAAAATATAATCCTTCCCCAAGAGATCAACTTTGAAGTAATATACACACAAAGAGATTAAACGCACCGTAGACAACAGGTTTATCATCATCTTGGCTTATTAGAAGAAATATCTTCGAGAGACTTTTTAGCCATCCGAATTGTCGAGGTAGCTGCTGCAGAAGTTGACTGCTGTTTCCGAAACAAAGACGATGAAGGAACTGTTGAACAAGATGGAGGTGACAAAGAAGAAGAATTTTCTTCTTTGTTTTCTTGATGGAATCTGAGTTTTCTCAAAAGCGTGAAGAGGCCTATTGCAGCAGTAACAGTAGTAAGGAAAAAATAAAAAGAATCCATAGTATTTGTAGAGAAATAAGATTGTATATCTCAAAGCTTTAAAGAGAGCCACATGACAAAGCACGTTTATTCCCGATATACCTAACCCCTGGATATTTCCTCGTAAAAAATTGCAGGAAGGCCAATAATGGGTCCAACACTAGCACAAGAGAGGAAAGACTTCGTTCATGAATGTTTCCTTCAAATGGAATCCAAGAAAGAAAAAAACAATTAACAAATTGAAAATTTGGAAAGAAATAGAAAGCATAAACAAGTAAAAAGGGAAGATAGAGTAGAAATGTACGATTTGTCCATGAAAATGGTTGTGGCACTCCGATTCTAAATGCGTATGCCTCAGCCCTCTCTCCTTGAAATTGTTAGCAGATTCATTTAGCGGTCCAACTGCAACTCATAAATGTTGAAGTCTGACATAACCAAGTGTTTGTGTTTGTGTAATTTGTTAAAAACTTAAATGTAAGGAGAATTAAAGCCGGCATTGTATTACCTTTGGAATTCTTTCAGGGTTTGGGAACTGCATGTTCTTGTCTTGAAGCATCTGACGCTGAGTCATCAATATGTTCTTCTCTTTCAGAAGAACATACCACAGCTTTTGAAGATCATCCCACGACTTGAGACGCAGTTCCGAAGTTTTCCAACCTCGACCTAACACCAAAATAGTTAACATAAGCAACCCCATTATCAAAACAAACAATCCTTGAATCCAACATTACAAATTCCAAATTTTTCATGGCATAAGAAAAACAATTGGTTATAGAGCAACCACATTACAACACTAAGCAACAGTAAAATTCCTTAGTAGAGATCCTTAAGTACATTCTATATACAATCCACAACTAGTAGCTAAGGGAATGATATGTGAAGAAAACAGAGAGCAGCTTTTTCATTTCAGAATGATACAACTTTACATGAAATTTTTGGAAGTATTACAAATTGAGAGGGCAAAAGACGCACCGTAGACAACAGGTTTATCTTCGTCTTGGCTTCTGCCGAACTCTTCGAGAGGAATTTTGGCCGTTCGATATGGTTGAGGTAGCTATTGCAGGATTTGACTCTGATCTCGTGGTCGTGGATGCAGCCGTCAACTGTAGAGTATGATTCAAAAGGGTAGCAAAAATAAAGATCATTTATTTTATTTTACATCAAGGGACCTCCATGAGTTGGACTATCCCGCATTCTTCTATCATCCACCGATCGTTACGATTGAGCTTGAACTCAAAGACAAGCTCGCTGGAAGTCACATCCGCTTCGACTTGGAATGTGTAGAGATGCTCTGTTAAAGCTGGATGTAGCCTGTGCTCGCTGTTTCTACACNTAACCATGAGAAAATCTAGTCTACTACTACCCTCATATTCACCTTTATTAACAAGCGAGATACAAGCCTTAAATCTCATGGATGTAGGAAGAGGCCTCTCGTTCAACTTGAATCTCAATGAACCCCCCACTACCACTAGTAGCTCGGTGAGTGAAGTACCAAGGAACAATTCCTGGATATTTTTCCCTCACAGAAAAAAACAAACAAGGACAATAATGATATCTAAAAAAATGATACAAGAGCAACAAGCAAGAGAGGAAGCTTCTTCGTTAAAGAATGTTTCCTTACAAAAAAAATGATAATCTAAAATATGAAAACAAAGAGCATAAACAAGAAGACACAAATCCATACAGCAAAAGGACATAAGAAGTAGAATCTAGAATCATACGAATATTTCCATGAAATCGGTAGTGGCAATTCCGATTGTAAGAAAGAAAGCAGCAACGAAATACACAAGCAATTGCAAAGAAGCAGTGATCAGTGTCCCAATCAAAAACCTGAGTTTCGTTGGATTTCAATAAAGGAACGCAAACGTGTCGGACGACTTCCAGGAGTTTTTCAAAATCAACTCTCTTTGTCCGATTTGCCGCTGATGAACATCAAATCTTCAGTTACATATCCATGGGGCGATATCGAGCATTCGAACTCGGAAAGCCATAGGGGCAAAAGTGGAAATATCAATAAACAACAAGTTTGGGGTTTGGACATTATGTGAATCGAACACGCAACCTTTGAAGAAAATCCACATTGTAAATATGGTTGATCCCATGTGCTCTACAAACTCTTTGATCTTGTGTTGTAATGATAATTCGACTCCCAGGACCAAACCTCCGAGTTTCCACTTTGTCAAGAACGGCTTGAACTTTCTCGTCTTTCATCCTATCTTGGGAAACTCCTAAATGAGGAATCTCTGTATCATTATGGTTGGTTATTTGAGACATAAACTGTTGTTGTAATTGCAACTTTGCTTTCACATTCTCCATAGAGACACTTTGTTGAAAACTGTTGCAGAGTTGGTTGTGTGCAAATCTAGCAATTGAGCATAGGCGTAACAACGGTTCCATTTTCTCCAAATGAGCTCTTATCCCAGCTAACCCAACAAAATAACTTGAAGGTGTCGAACTACTCAACTTGTTTGAAATATCAGTGGTGATTTTCTTGATCATTTTCCCTGATAATTGGCGAGATCAATACATCCATTAAATGAGAATGTATTTCAGAGCCACAAATGTACGTAGTTTAAGAGCAAATGAGAATCGAAAGGACGTACCAGTTGCTAGAATGATAACCAGCGATTGTGGCCACTTTTGCCAAAGCTTGTTTCCATCTCCTAATATTCACTTCTGTTTTACCAACACAAGTTTTTCTAAACACTTTCCCAAAATCTCCGGTCAGTTTCTTTACATCAGATGGATCCACTTTGTAGAAAACGGTCATCACGGTTTGACCCAACTCTTCTCTACACTTGATAATCTCCACCAATTCGTCAAGACACCAGCTTGAAGAAGCATAGTTCGTAGAGAACAAGATAATTGCGATCTTAGACCCTCTGATCGCCCGAACAAGCTCGGGACCGATGCATTCTCCTCTTTGGATCTCATTATCAACAAACGGAGTGATTCCATTTCTTTGAAACTCCATCTGAATGTGACTGAAAAGGTCTCTACGAACATCAGCCCCGCGGGAGCTGGGAAGCGACAAAGACATGGTGTGTCTGTTTAAGCGACA